CCTTTTAACAAGTCAGTTGACCAGATTTAGCCTGTTTACAGCTGTAGCAGGGAGCTGTGTTTCCTCTTAACAGTCACATCTTTATGGTCCATCCCCTTCACTGTTCTAATTTTATTTAATCCAGAGTCGTTTCTGGTGGTGCATGAATAAGACTAGTGCTTTTCTATTTTCTCCCTGTGGTTAAATATAAAGAGCTGATCAGTCTTTCTTCATTAACTGAACAGTGCTGGGCAGGTTGTTCACAGCCCTTTACTGGAGTTGGAGAGAGCTTATAGCAGGTTTCATACCACAGTTAATCACAAAGGCTCAGAGAGAAGCTTTGAGGCTAAAGCAAAGGCAGATTGTTTCAACCAAGTGGCATTTAGGTGAAGTGTGAGGGCTGTGTTTAAATCCTTACCTTTTAGGAAGATCTTTAGTGTAAAATCCTGTTTTCAAGGAGAGTATCGGTTCACTGCCACGAAGTGCCCACAGTTAGTTTGTGATTTTTTTCCAATATTGTCAGCTGTTACGGTGGCAGCCAGTTAATTATCTCTTGTATTGACAGAGCTCAGGGGAAGAACTGTTGGCATCAGCCAAAAGGACCAAGTTAGAAGACTTAATGGAGAATGTGAATAACGCTTATGCCAGTCAAGATGAAGTGAAGGAAAAGAGTGGGAATTTGTGTACACTGTTTGAAAAAGATGGTAACCTTTTCAGATTTTCCAATACTGTTCAGTTTATGGAGGAGCTGAAAAAAATTGCTTTGTTCTTCAAGCTACTGTGTTTTTTGTCTTAAGATTTCATTTCTTAACTTGCTTCCCAGGTTCTTCAAAAGCAGCTGTTTAACTGGAAAGGCCTCCTGGCAGGGGGGAAGTTACGGATAACGCAGATCACAGCAGTAACTTGATTCTGAATGCGTGATAATCCAGATATCGATACTACTGCAGTACTGTGAGAATAGTACTGTGCTCTACTGCATACTTCTTGAATGCTTCCTGTCTCCCCTACCCCTTATAGCAGAGATGGTGCACGACTTTTGTCAGCACTGGGAGAGCAAAGGAGGAGGAAGCCATGTCTGTGTCCTTCCTCTTTGCCCCAGCAGGCTGCACTAGCGGAACCATTAGAGCTTGGTGGATCCTGAGGGAGGGGGGGTGCAGGCTGGCTGTATCCCAGGGGAGATGCAGGACCTGAAGGGTAGAATCGAGGCATGATTTTGTACCACAGTCTTTGGGTGGTTGACTTTCTTTTTATCCCTTATTGTGCCTGCCCCTCAGATTGGCAGGGTAACAGTGGACTAGGAAGGAAAGTGAGATGGGTCCCCGCCTGTAACCTCCCAAAATTCCACTGGTCTTTTTTTGCAAAAGTGTTGCAGTAATTCAGAGGGGTAATGATCACTGTCGTGAAAAATTCCAGCCCTTATCCATCTCATGTGAGATGTGTGTATCAGTACCGTCCTCTTGCTTTGTGAATAACGTTTTTTGGTGTTGCTATAAGCCACTTTGCTTCTGCCCTTTGCACATCTTTCTGTCAGTGACTGTGGGGTTTATTCCCCTTACTTTATTTTTCTTTCTCTGAAGGCTCTCTGCATGACCGTGCTTATTTCTTGTTGTATTACAATTTTCTTCTGGGCTGTGAGTTTTTTAAACTTTTTCACTTGCACATGCTAGTAGGGCCTTTGCTAGTCTACAGTATGAAAAGTTAAAAATGGCCCTTCTGCAGTTAGGTCTCCTTTGTTGTGCAGTGATATCTTTCACAACAAAAAAAAAAGCCAAACCCAACTTACTTGTTCCTTTTGATCTTCAGTAATAAAAACCCGACAGCTCATGCTGCTGCAGCTTAGTAGTTACTGCTCAGCTACCTACTGGGTTTGTGATCTGGCTCTTGGTCCAGGTCAAATAACTGGTAAAACACACTAGAAATTTAGAAACCTTTTCTGTCACAGGACGAAAGTGCTCCTGGGGCTGTTAGCACAGCTAATTACATATGTAGCAACTTGATGACATGTCTGAGTACAGGATGAGTTTGATTATCATCAAAAATTTTATCAAGTTTAAATGCTTCTGTCAATCTACGAATGGTTAGTGGGGATGAGCAGCTGACAACTTAGTGCCTGGTACATTCTTTATTTTTTAATGTTACCAGCTGTGTGCCAGATAGAAAAAACAGAGTTTGACTTTCAGCCCAGGTTGTTTTCAGGATTAAGAGGAAAATGCACCTTCCAATGTAAGGTCCCTTGGTATGGAAATATTCATTATTATTTCACTATCCAAAAATTCCGTAAGTATTTTTAGAGTGGCCTTTCTCATTGGGAAGTGCCGTGAAACTTTTGTAAGGTGCTTCAGGTTTGCTAATTTCAGGGAAGAAAGCAGGGAAGTAGTCTAGCTTTTCTTCCAAAAATACTGCTGAAAAATAATATTTTTTGGACATGCAACATTAGATTGCCCAACAAAATTATATTTCTTTTACCTTTTTAGGTTTTAATCCATTAAATGGAGAAGTCCTGCTTTCAGAAGATAGGCATATCACTTGCTGCACAACTGGAAGTACATTGCCAACAGCTGAGGAACATAATTTGCTTCCTCATTCAGGAGTTAGAATTGATGCTGAAAATTCAGGTACCTTCTCCCAGACTGTGAAAATGAGGGTAGAGTATTCCCAACCTGTGAACATACAGGGACCAGATACGGCAGGCAATGCATCTCTGGTACATAATGAAGTTGTATTGTCTGTGGAAGCAGATGGCTCACCTGAATTAGTTCAAGCGCACTTTGTGAGTGAGAGTACAGCCGGTGGACTGTCAGCTACTGAACTTTGCAACTCTGCGTCAGAGAATGCAACGGGCAGTCAGAGCACTGACTTACCAACGAGTGAAGAAAATGGTCACAATCAAACATACCAGAAACTGCAAGAAGAAAACCGTAATTTTGCTGTTAAAGAACATTCTGAACAATTTTGTAATGCTGATACGACTGATGAGATACAGGAACTTGGAAAAGTTTTTTCAACAAACATTGTGCCAATAAACTACCCCCACAGTGCTCAGACTGAGTCGCCCCAGAATGCTGTCCAGGAAGCCTCCCTGTCTGCTCCCGTGAACCATGAAGACTCTTTTAAAAACATGAATGAGTTTTCTTCTGGGACCGAGGGACATGAGCTGGAGAATACAGTTACTGTAGATGAAACTGTAGCCTTCGAGATTACTGATGAGAGCCATGATTTTTTGTCTCAGGGACATGAACAGATTTTTATTCAGACTTCAGATGGGCTTATCCTGTCTCATCCAGAGACTGCTGTTTTGTCTCAGGCAGAAGGCATTGTTATTGTAACCGATTCCAATGGTACTACAATGCACATTCGCACACCTGAGGGGATACCTTTGGAAACTGTGGAAGCACTACTGGCAATGGAAGCAGATGGCCAAAGTGAAGATATTTTGCTCTCACAAAGTGAATTGGAGCCATAAGTTAGAAAACTGTGTAAGTTTTCTTCTGGAAAAGACTGACTCTATTAAAATGTATATTTTTCTAATGTGAATACTGAAATAATTGAAACTTAACTTATTTGTAAACTGTTTCTATGCCCTGTACTTTTTATAACTTATGTTTATATAAATCTAGCAGCATTGCAACCAAAAATTCTAGAATTAACGTTGTTCTATTTGCTTTATATGTTGGGGGTGGGTGGAAGGTGGAAATCTGTCAACCCTAAAACTGTTGCACTATTCCCTTTTGTTACATAATTCCTTTTCTCTCTAGCCATCTAAAAATGCAGTAAGTTGTACTGCTGTTCAGCAGTGATGTGCTGTGTACTGGCAAGCTGTATATGGGTAAAATAAAAATTGTACTAGAAATGTGTGTTTTCTGTGCTGTTGAGATTACAAAACACTTTGTTATTGCACTTCCTTAAAGCTAGCTTGAATATTCATTAGCATCTAGACTTGATGTGCATAAATCTGCCTGGAAAAATAGGTAGTTGTAAATATAATCTGCACTTGTGCATTCCAGGAACAATGTGCCAACCTCGCTGATCCTTACTCAAGTAAGTAACTCCTGAGTTGAGACAAAAATAGCCTCAAACAAGATCCGATTTGTACTTAACTACTGGAGATGTATTTAAGTATGCTTGTCTCCTGTTCAGCCACACCTGCAAAAATTGCCATTACCTAGACAGAAATGTGAAGGTGTGTAAGTAGTGATCTGATTTTCCTTAATGAGATACCAAATTATTTTTTCACTTTAGTCTGTGATGGTCTATTTTTGTTAGACTTGTATAACACTTTTTTCTTTCAGCTGATGCATCCTTTGTCAGTTCTAGGCTTCAGCCTTCCTAGTAACTCCAGGCTGCCCTGTACTATTTAATCATAATGAGAAGATATCCTTGACTATAATCCCTGTTTCTCAATGCAAACAGAAAACAAACTATTTATCTTCTATTTTTGTCATACTTCCAGTATGTTGCTTGGGTGATAATATTTTTGTGGAGACCTCCTAGCAGCTGCTTGTCTAATGCAGTGTCTTTTCTTTCAAGAAGCTTGGCAGGTGAAAAAGAACAGCCTTAAATGACCAGCGTCTTTATTTTGTTGATGAGCTATTGTAGACTTTACTGAAGACTGGCTACATACCCTCCAAAATGTATGTCACCTCACTACTAGATAAATGAGGCTACTGAGCTAAGTGGACAGATCAGCTCAAAGGACCTGTAATATGTAGAACTGTTTTTAAGTATGAACAGTAATTTTTTTCTTTTTTTTTCATGATCTTGGCACTGAGGAAAAACTTTCACTAAATTTCAGTCTAAACAAGAGAGGATAATTTAGAGATGAAACAATGTTCTTTACTACATCTGGTTTGGGGTTTGGTGGCTTATTTTTCTGTTTTGTTTTTTTTTTTTTCTTGGTTGCCTAAACAGAAGATAAATTTGATTAGCTGAAACACTGCCTTTTATGTGTGGATGTGAAAGATGTCATCATATGTTAGTAAGCTCCTGTCTGGTGGCTGGGTTTATGGTGTAGTTTTTTTTTGTTTTGTTTTTTGTTTTTTTTTTTTTTAAGGAGGTGCTTACAGCCAGAAGATACAGGCCTACCTTATAAGTGAAGGTACCATACCAAGCAAGGTTCTGCTGGTCTTTCAAAGTGTTTGATTGCAGTGAGCAATTCTTTATTACACTCTTTTTATACTGATTGTCTCGTCACTACATCTGAGGGCTTCAACTGTAACAATCAACTGCTTAGAGCTATAATGACAAAACATCTCTGCAATGATTTTTGCAGCAATCTTCCTGTGTCCGAGAGCTGTCAGTGAGCAAGGGGGTCTGTGACTATGAGGACTCTTTTTGAAGAGCTTATTTCCTCTAAGAAACAAGAACAAATGATAATTTCCACCTGTGCAGAAAATGAAAATTTGCTTCAATTCTGCCTTCCCTATTGATTTGCACATGCTGGGAAATAAAACACACCTACTCTCATCTTAAAAAACCAATTCTGTAAGTGAACCAACCTCTTCTCCCTGGAAAATACTTTTCAAGTATGAAGGTGTTTCCAGAGTGACAAGGGTCTGGCCCTACTCAGATAAATTAAGGTGGCTGTCAAACTAGGTGGAACACTTGCACAGAACAATAATAAAACTCAACAAAGCTATTCATAACTGATTGTATTCTCCTTGAGCTACAGCAGAATTTCTTTTTAGATGCTAGAAATTTAGGGTAAGAATAGAACACTATTAAGCTGTCAGAAACAACCTCGTTGAACAGAGCAACATGTTGAGAAAACTTTTCCAATTCACATCTGTCCCATTATTGCAGGAAATTTACCTATTTCCCTTACCATGCTTGTGGGGTTTCAGCTTGGAACTAGTTATGTAAGCGGCCCTACCTTTCCTATCAGAAATCTGTTCCAGAATCTCTCACTGTTTTAATTAGATTTATCTAGTGTCAAACCCCATGCATTACGGTCATTTCATAGTAGTGTGCATTTTGTGTCAAATATTTGCTTCAAGGAGAATCATGGGTAAACATCCATTAGGGCACAACAAGGAGTCAACAGGACTTAGAAACTCTACATAAGCGTGTGAAATAAGAGATCTAAATCAACAGTTTATATAGGAGCAGGTCATACAGGCAATCAGTAAATGGGAAGGCTATAGATTATTAATTGTAATGAAGGAAGCAGAAGGCCTAAGGGATTTAACTAAAAATTTGTTGGCACGGCTGCATAGTTTTCACATCGTAATACACTCTGAAAAGTGGTAATTTGCAGTAGCAGCTAACGGTTATTAAGGGCTGGGTAGGTGTAGCAGCTTCACCACGCTACCCAGGTTTGACCTAACTGTGCACTACCATGATTATTACGCCTTTAGGAGTGAAAGCGAATTAGGGTATTGAATTCCACTTCAGCAGTTAGCTTTTGCATTAACTGTTTCTCCCAAACACACTCTTTACTGTATTTTCCAAGAAAGCAGCATGAAAAAGAAAAGCAAGAATTCAAGCCATCGATCCTTGTCATGTAAACTGCTAACCAAAAATACAGAGGGGGCACACCTTTAAACCAAAACCACTTGTCATCAGGCACAGTAATCCAAGGAAAAGCTCACTGACCCCTATGACAGGAAGCAAACAATATGGGATAAGGCCATGACGGAAGCAGGTCTCATTTTTATTCAACAGATGCTTTCATGAAACATCTCTAAAAGAAAAAAGTTACAATGAATTAAGAGACAAGACCTTTTCGTATGACGACTGTGGAGTGGTGAGTTGTGCTAAACCTTCCCAGCGTACATGCAGGCTTGGATCCCTTTTCAAGGCAGATGTACCTAACCACACTATAACCAAAACCAAACCAGAATTTACACTAGTGTGTGAGACAGCATTTCAGAACCACATACCAGACCGTGTGGATCCTTCTGGATCCACTCTTGGATCCTGCTTTTTGTGCTTTTGTGCTTTCCTTTCCCTTTCCCCATTTATAAAGCAAGTACAAAAGCACTATCCCTGTTAAGTCTTGCAAAAAACCCAACCGCAGAGCATCAAGAAGTGCTGAATTTCTATGGTGAAAGGGACAACATAGATATTTTAGACTGTCAAGACTTGGAAAGTAGTTACATTATTTGCTGTATGTGTCTATGTGCATTGAATCCCCTCAGACCACCAAATAGTGCTTACCTCTTTCTGATTACAGGGGACTTGGCCTCCTACCTGTAGCTTCTCTGCTGCACTTAAAATGGATAAAGCAATCAAAACCAGACTGTCCCATGAACAAAAAGGAGTATCAGCTGACACAAAATAAAAAATACAAATAGAGAAAAATATTTTTAATAAGTTTTACAAAAACTCAACTTACTTGGTCAGCCCTGCAATTTGCCATTTCAGTTTCATATAAGCATCATTAGAAGCAATCCATGTAACATTTGAAATTCTAGCACTGTCTGTGTCCTGTTTCCAGCAGCATGGCTTCAAGTAGTAGTTTGCTGCTGTTATCAATGTAAGGCTGGTATAACCACGATGATAAATAGACCATCATCAGATCCTGGTCATCAGAATGAGCAATTCCTTGTACAATTGTTTGCTTGAGTTGTAGTTCCTTCCGGTACATTTCAGAGAGCTTCAGAGAAACCTCATCTGAAATGGATTGAAAAACTAAGCACACTGACCAGAACATTTCAGCAATTCTCTAGAAGTTAAATTATACTTGTAATATGTGGAACATTAAAAAAACCCTACCTTGCATAAGCTATTGCTTGTATTTAGACATGTTGGTTTTTACAGCATTAATAATGTTTGTACACTAGAATATAAAATGCTGAACAATTCCAACAGCTTTTGGATATATTTTATACACTTGTGATTTTGACATGAATCCCCTTTCAATTCTAGAACAAGCAGTGGTCTTGATTCTCACCGTAACGTTAGCAATTATAGCTATCCTTTCAAATAACTGGAATTTGATGTTAAAATTTGGAAATGCTATCTTGAAATACAAGCTTCACCTTTTAGAGTCACTGTTAATTTTAGCTAATCTAAAGAATGTCCCCACATGCTGTCATGCACTTTAGCAGTGCCTGATCACCAGTAAGTGATATCAGTAGTAAAAAGTAACAGTAAAACAAAACAACAGGCCAAAACTGAAGCGTGTAATGTAAAAACTAATATTGTTACTAGTTATGTTAGTTATACTGGTGTGGGGGGTTAAAATATATTCATGCAATAATCTTTGATTGTTTGACTTCCTAGACAATAGTCACATCAATTATTTTTAAAGAGAGACTGATCTTGTGTTTCTAACTTAACCCCAACTATCACTACCTTGAGGAGGATTTAGTCTTTCATGGAGCAGAGAGCATCACTAAATGATTCAGTCATGACAAGTGTTTTGACAGCAGCTGTCTTTGTTGTTCTTACCCTTTTAAGCTGGCAGGAACTAATACATAAGATTCCCACTAACTTGTTGTAGTGAAGTAAGAAGCAGGGCTTCACAAAAGTATGACTTTTACTTCACAAAGGTGGCAGTTGGTTTGCACGCAACGAGGCTTCTCTTAAATTCAAACAGTTTTATAACTGTGGTAATGCCAGTTGGGAGGCAGTACCTTTTGCCATCAAGTGAATGCTAAAAGGACTGATACTAACAGTATCTGAACGTTTCTTTACTTGTCTTGACTAACATTGAGATCAGAAGTATTTTTCTTTGTCTGCCTGAGAATTGACTGAGGTATAACTTGTTCTTTGCATTCACAGATTTTAATTCAGTGTCAAGCAGCATGTCAAGTCAGTTAAGACAATTAACACCACCGAGTTGCAAACATGTCTCTCCCTACAAAGGATGTGGCTCTTGCAGCTTGGATACTGTAAGCTGCTGACAAGCTTAGTTTTATGCTGTAATTGTTGCATGTCAGACAATGCTTGGCAATTCATGCAAGCAGCCACCAGCAGTAACCCTAAGCCAAGTGGTGCATTCATGTGTTTATTGATTAGTCAATTATAAAGGAGACAGATACACACTCTCTCTCTCTCTCTCTAAGGCAACACATCCAGATAAAAGGGTTTATTTTTCAGTCCTACATTAGATTATATCAATGACACAATGCAATTAGCTACGATAATCAATATTTTACTTACAGAAGTATGGTGTGGGCCACGTATGAAAGAAGGGTGCTGTGCAATTCCCGGCGCCATGGTGGAATGCTTCCAAGTCACAGATTGCTTTAGTAGTCGAAGTAAGCCTTTCCATTTTCAGTTGTATTTTTCTCTGAAAATGATGAACATGTAATGTTAGGGACACATCTCAGGAACATTAGGCTACTATAATCTTAAACATTTTTTTAAAACATACAATTTGTGAAGACTATTTAGTCTTACCATTTCTAACTCACTTTTTTAAACTCCAGACAAGAATCAAAGCTGGAATTTATATAAAGATTTAATACTAAATACCTGAAAATTCTGAACACTACACATGTCTTTCTTCCTGACTCTGATTCTGCACAATTCTTTTGTTTCCTCCATGCAGAATATTAAAGCCCTTTCATCTTTTTACCTCTCTCTGGGTTTTTCCTATACAATTTAGTACTGGGCAAAAATACCAGACTGTCTATGAACAAGTGTGACACAAGCCCTAAAAACACATGCTTTCTTGCATTACCACATCAAGATGACTTAAACTTGATTTCAAAAGATCAGTGGCAGGTGAGAAAAGCAGCTCAAGCTCCTATTGACAACATACCTATGCTGATTTAACAGCTTGATTTGAAAAACAGGTCATTCCATCCACTTCCTTCACGTTCAGCTGACTTTGTGCATTACTGATGGGGACTAATGTTTACAAAGAAATGGAGCTTGCAGACAGTATCTTTAAGTCAAGAAGCTAAAATACAGATATTTCTATAAACTCATAAGCTGATACGAATGCATAAGGAATGAAAAATCAAATATGTCTGTAGTAGCTATGTTCAGTATTCAATCTAACACTGACTGCTTAGACTCCATAATAATTTAATTGTAATTAAATAATTGCACTAGGAGTAATAAAAAAATTGCATCAACACACTTGGTAGTCTGAATACAAAACTACCTAAGGGGAAAAAAAAAAAAAAAAGGAAGAAAACCCAATTTACTGTTACTTTTTCCCACAGAACAGAATTTTGAAGAAAATCCAGCTGTTTTCCTGCTTATTCTAAATAATAGACTGGTATCCTCTCTATATAAAAAAATAAATCTATTCCCTTTTTTATGGGCCTCCACTTTGGCAGAAGGCTGTATAAGTTACTTTTGATCAGAATTTTAAATTGCAGTATCAGTCAAAAATTATTCTTTTTTCTTCCTGTCAAACCGACAGGTGACATTAATTCCTAGCAGTGTATCCAGAAAAAAGGTGAATTACATAATTATCTTCGTCTACTCTCTAGAGAAGGAGTTCTGCACAGAAAATGCAGGTAGGCAGACTAACACTATAAATGCATTATGTCTGATCAAAGATAGCTGCAAGGATATGATGGCAGGTAAAGCACCGCTTTATGCTTTGTTGTTTGTTTCATTCTAAAAAGCGGGAATATTCAGGATGAGAAAACAAGACGGGTGCAGTTTTAGAATGCATTTTTTTGTACGACTTGTTTTCAGAAGATCACTTTATAAAGGGAGGAGTAGAATTATAAGCAGAAGGCAGATGTAAAATCAACTTTCAAATTTACCAGTCAAGCAAAGAAATTGTGCACACTAGATTTATAATCATTTAGGTCTGAAGTCACCAAACTATGACTAAAAATCCCAATTTTCTGCTTACAACAAATACTTGAGGAAATTTCCTTATGTCATACTTGAACACACTTGGAATTGATTCATACTAAGATTGAAAAATGAGCATTACCATATGCTTTAAGGTCTCAAGTAATTCTGCACAGCAATTGTCCAGTTCTTCATTGTATTTTGGAACTGGCTTTTCAGATTCTATAGCACCGTTGTCACATGCTATCTCCAGTTTGTTGTCTTGAAATCTAGAATAGAAACATAAGGCAGAGTAAAAACTGCATATAGGTTTACTCAAGCTGTGCAGATTTAAAATCAATGTGGTCTGATACAAAATCTCTCTCGCAGGCTCTTCATGAGAGTTCCTACATAAAAACAGTAAGAGACATAGCTAGCCAGGTGAGCAACTGGGGCTGGTACCATAATCTGCAAAGGAACGTAAAAGTACTTTACCTTAGAGCATGTCCTTGAGAAAACAGTTGCAGGTGTTAAGATAACACCTTTTCCCACTTTACCTTGCCCCTGTATTGGAGGTTATTCGCTCATAATGGACGAGGTATGCCCAGGCTTCAGCTGCTCCAGCTGACAATCTGGTGCCTCATCACAGACTCACCTTCATGCACGATTTAAGCTGCACCATTTAACTGTGAAACCAGAGCAGCTAATGCACACACACCTGTCCTGTCTTGGCTGACTTTTCCACAGAAGCTGTAAACTTAAGTCAGGGGAAAGGGAGTTGCTAGAGAGCAAAAGCAACATCTGACACCGTTACAGAAAAATATTCCTGAGTTTGTACATGTCAGAGTCCTGTCAGACAAGCCCTGTTCAGCTGCCAGGACTCTGCAGAACTTTCTTCTCAAAACCCTGTTAGTTATAGGTTTTTCTTTACAGCATGAAGATAACGGCTCTGTCAAAGTCGTTTTTGTTAATCATGACTGCTATAACATTTTTGTCTATAAAAAACACTGATTCTTTCTTAAAATCTGCTGAAATTTGACATTAGTTAAATTTGGTAATACTGGCCTCAGCGTAAATATGCAAGAGTAAGGGAACTCAAATGGGCTATCTGATCTATAGGATTAGATTTTACCATTGTACATTATGTAAGTATTTTAAATATCTGCTATGCTTTATGATGTATAGTAAACATTTTCCATTTCTTGTAAATACAATTATTCTATGGGATTATTTTAATCTCTGAGGCATTTATTATTTGAATGTAAATAGTTTATGTAACCAGAAAGTGCAACTGCTGAGTTTAAGAGCTAGCTTATCCACTCTGACATGTTCTTTCCCCCATCTCTCATTCCCCCAAAATGAACTTTCTAGTGAAGAAACCAGATTAATTTCTTAATAAGAGCAACCTTTATGCTGTCTTTACTTGTGTTATTAGCATACTTACTGCTCACTGATCTTCATGTTGATTATTTTGTTTGCTGTAGTAAATCCATCATCATTCAGTCTTTCCCATTTCATCATTAAATTATGCCAGTCTGCTGCATTATCTTTAATTTTTCTTGCACTGACAGGTAAAACAGGTCTTCTTGGAGTACCATCAGCAGGACTTTTTGCTATATGAGAAAATAAAGAAATTAAGCCATTTAAAGCATACAGAAATGAATCAGTATGGGGTCTGGCAGTTGTTTTGTGTGAATCATTTCCTTACTTTTCTACTGAATATTGATTCAAGTAAAATAGAATTTACATCAGCTCCCTTCAACCATGAAATCTAATTCCTCATCGATCAGCTTGATTACTGTTTACAACAAAATCATGTTATTAAAAAAAAACGCAAACGTGTCCTGAGGTGTGACGTCGTCACCCGGACAGCAGCGGCTTTGCAGCACTGAGCAACCTAGGAGCCTTCGGTCGATACACCACAGCCAAATGCTAACGCCGCGTATGACGCCAAAAAAAAAAAAAAAAAAAAAAAAAAAAAATCACGGCAACGACGACTGTATCCACGCGGCGTTCGCGCCACAAAACCCCTGAACGAACTCAGGTCCCCAGGCGAGCCCGAAGCGCCGGGAGAGAGCCGGCTGCTGCCGAGGGCCGCGGCGGCTTTCCCGCAGCGCCCGCGCCTCACGATGCGCCGCCCCAGGCCCTGCCGCGGGAGGGGAGGCGGCTGCAAGCCCGGCCCGAAGCTCAGATGCAAAACAGGCGCCTTATTCAGTTACTTGGGAAGCGCCAGCGGCACAACCCGGCCGCGGGCAGCCCCCCGCCCGGGGCTGAGGGGAACTGCCCCCCCGCCCGCCCTTCCTCCCTCACTCACCCGCCATGGCGGCCGCCACGGAAGTGCGCTCACGTCCGGCCCCGCCCAGGCCCGGCCCCGCCGAGCGGCGCAGGCAGCCGGGGCCGCCGCCGCTTCGGGGCCTCGAGGGTGCGGGTGGGGTGGGACGTTCCGCTCTTCCCCTCCGCTCCCCGCTGGCAGCCAGCGTTGCCCCGCGCTCTTGGGGAGGAGGTGAGTGGAGCCGCGTCTCTGCGGAGGTGGGCGGGAGCCGCCTGAGGGTCTCGCTCCGGCTCTGGCGTCCCTCCCTGGGCGCCGCCGGCGGGGCCTGGCGCCGCCTGTGGCGGCTGGGCTGAGGCGGGGAGCGGGCCGGCTCTCCCGCCCGGCGGCTGGAGCTGGCCGCGGGACACCGCGGGCGGGAGGGCGCGCTGGGGCGCTGGGGGCGGGGGCGAGGCGGCCGTTACGCGCCCGCGGAGCGGCTGAAGGGGCTTCGCCGTCGTCGTGTTTCCCCTCTCGGCCCGGCGGGAGCTCTGGGTCTGGGTGGTAAATCCGGCATAAGCTGAAGTAAAGCTGAGGAAAGCGAGGCGCGTTGCTGGCCCGTGGCTGTATTCTTCCTCCCTTGTCAGGAGATGCATTCCCTCAAGCGCTAAAAGGCGGCATAGGAGGGAGGGATGGTTTGGAACATCTGTCAGAATACAGAAATACCTCTAGGGAAGGTTTCCTAGAGAAACTGGATGTCCCAGGGCCATCACAGTGAGTAAAGCCTGCTTTGTGCTGCTCGCCTTGGCGTACCTGCACGTGCGGTGACCCTAGGTGCTCTTTTCTCCATCCTCTCCATCTGTCACCTAGGATTGTTATTTTTAATAAAAAAACCCCCGCTCTTCTGAGACAGAAATGCAACATATCATGACTCGTGTAGAGCAACAGGCGTTGTTAATCAGGAAGTCACGGCCTGTGTGCTGGCTGGTGCTCTGCCTGCAAACGGGATGCAGGAAAGCAGAGCTCCTTGTTTCAGTGGGCTGTGAATTTGTGGTCTTCTCTCTGCTTGGCAGCGGTTTGCTGTGAAAAGCTCCGGAGATGTGGCAGTGGAGAAGCCTGCTCCTTAGGCTAAAAATATGAGAAGTATTAGGGAAAAAAAAAAAAAAAAAAAAGAAAACAAAACGCTCTTCTTTTTAGTTGGCAGAATCTAGTTTAGATCAGAGACTGTTGTGTTTAGCTGTGGTCGTATATGAGTTTCTCCATACTCTGAAAAGCTTAAAGAACAAAAAACCTCAGAGTTGTCCCTCTTGTACAGACAGGGCACTTTGTCTCAGAGAAATGCAGTAACAGCTTTAGCCTTCTGCAGTCAGTCTGTGGTGTACGCTGGCACTGAACCTTTAACCACTGCATCTGTTTAGCCGTGGGATTATCTCTTACTTTAGTTACCTCTGTTAAACAGCCTTACTCCTGTTTCTGAGATCAGAGAAAACTTTAAAAAGTTTGCTTTTCAAAACATGGCCTTGAATGCAGTATTTAAAAACTTGTTGTGAACTTTGTGAGTTGAGAAGGAAGACCCTCTGGTGATTGTTTTCAATGTGCAACATAAGGTATTTTTCTCTACTTTATCTCTGCTGCAGGGTAGCTGCTTAGCACAAGCTGATTTACCCTATATAGCTGTTATATACTAGAGAGTAACTGTGGCTGTCACAGTGAACATGTGCATCCAATTCCCAAATCTGTCTGAGAAAATAAATTATATCCACTGTTTGCCTTTCGTTAACGAAGTAGGAGAACAGGTAATAGATAGTCTTAAAGCTGTTAATAAAGAGACTACTTGTGATACCCAACTGTGATTAGGGAGATGTTGAAGACTAGGCCCAAAAGCAGAGAATTGTGGTGTTTGTGCAGAGTTTTTTCATATATATAGGCCACATTGCAGTTCTCTAGTCCTTTATACATTTGTTTCGTGTAGATAAAATGACTCAATTAGTTGCATTTTTAATAAAGTGATGATTTGAGCTTTCAGTTATGTTTTCATTCAAATAGTGCAAGTGTTTTGTTAGACTGTAAACCACTCGAAACTAATTTGTCCATGTTGGCAAGAAATTATAGTTTATTAATATATATTTTAATTGTGCAGGGTGAATGGGTTATAGAGAGCAAAACTTAATTTCATTTTTTTCCAACTTTGCCATCAGATTGAAATAAGATTGTATTTAAATTTTATGAAGAGTGAGAACCCTAACTTGACAGCATTTTTTTTTTTTTTTTAGTTAGTATATGACAAGAAATAATTCCTGTCATTGTTTTCTAGGTGGGGGGGAAAGAACCCTGTAAAACTTTCCCTTTTTTTTTAATCTTATTAAATTATATGTAAATTTACAAAACGTGCATCAAGTTGCAGATAGGGTTGTTGCAGAGGAAAGAGTAATAGTCTTTTTCTGGATAACCCAGATTTTCATAATTCCATAGTTTGTAATGAATTACTATGTTTTTAACAGTTTAGTTGAGCTGGAAGGATAAGTGATGGAAACTGAGGGAATGAATTTTGAGGACTTGTGAGGTCCTTTGGCAACTGGGGAGTGTGAGGTGGTTCCAGTGGTAGAAATTGAGTGGTAGAGTGGTAAAAATTGAAATTAGACAGAGGAAGATTTGTACATGTGAGATGCAGGACAGTGACTGGATTTTATTTTATTAGAAAAAGTAAAGGCGGGAAGGAAAAAAAAAAAAGATCAGCAGCTAGTAAAATGACTAAACTGACAAAGTAGCATGTTTAGTACAGCAAACAAGAGCCTTTAGCAGTGGGTTCTCTCTTCTAGTTGACTGTAGATAGAAGGTAGGAAATGCTGAAGGAAAGGGCAGGAGACCGAAAATATAGAATAGAAAATAGATGGTATGTAAAAGAGTGGTGATGCACTGAGGCTATCTGTTAATTTAGTAAACAACTCTGAAAGGAACTCTTCATTCAGCAGTAATTTGGACACTCATGAAAATCAGCTCATGAAAAAAGGTGTCATGACAGGTAGTAAATACTGAAGAAGAGTGGAATTAATTTCTAAGGTCTAGCAAGCGGTAAAATTTATCACAATTAAGAACATCTAATAACTGCTGCTAACTTACTTACTGGTAGTTTTTGTAACACAGTTAAAGAATGGGTCCAGTAACTAATCTTTATTCCTGCGGTTTTGTCTAACATGGGCTTGAATGGGTAATGTCATGCAAGTAATCCCTTTGTATTTAGTGGAATTGTATGTTGACAGCAAGTGTTGCAGGGCTCAAAGCCAGTGTGCTGAATCCTCCCTCAGAATAACTGAAATAGTTTGAAAATTGAGACATCAGAGCTTTTTCACAATATTGGAGATATTAAGCTAGAGTAGCTTTTTAGTTGATATGTACTGTAAACAAGGTGTGAAGCTGCATAACAAATACCATTTTCCATCCTTAGAGAAATAAAAACTAGACACAATAGGACATATCTCACAAATTGCAGGAGGAATGCTTTACAGAATAATTTTGAGCATTTAAAAGTGTTTCTAACCTCAATAGGCATATTTTGGTTTTAATTTCTCTAAGGAAATGATAACTCTGCTGAAACTTAAGAAAATCTTCAATGTCACAGGCTTAAACAACTGTCTTGGAAAACTGCAAGTATTTTTGGAAGATTCTAAATCACTTTGTTATTTGGACTTGCTCATGGCAAAATAAAATACAAGAAGTGAAGATTTCTTTCCTTTTCCATGTTCCAAAGTTATCAGTGAGGAGAATAGTTGCTGCTGCAAAATGTTCTTGTCAAGGCTGTCACCCCATGATGAGAAAAAGTACTGGGGTTTAATTAGCTTTTAAAAATATTTTTATATATGTTGTGGTTGTATCAGCTTTTTCTGAAGATCCCAGTACGTTGTTACTATGATGAGCTGTGACTACATTTTTTTCTTGAAGAAAGCAAACAGTATCTTTGTTTCTGTTATTCTTAGAAAGATACCAGAATGATTTCTGAAGTATATTGATAATGTTGATCATCAGCATGAAATTATTTGCTTAACCATAAAGGGAAACACAGGCATATGGTACTTATTCTGTTTGCTCCTTATCTTTCTAAATTCAATTGCTACATGGATATCTTCCTGTGTCTGTCAAACTGGGATTTTTTTCATTTTTTCATTGCCCCTTTCTTCACAGACTGTTCTTATTTATTGGTTGCTATTTGATTATATAGCAGATGTAGCTCTGAGTAGTTTCTCAACCATGTTTTTCTTGGGGTGTGGGTCACTAAGGAGTTGAGCATAAATAATAGTTTGACACTTTGATCTTACAGCAATAACACAGTGAATATCCCATGCTCTCTGCACTGGGAGGATTGAGGGTAGAGTTTGAAGATAGATGAAGAAATATATCCCATGGATTGTTCAGTGGCACAGACCTTATGGTTCTTTCACTAGCCAGATGAGAAGAAACACTGCATTTGAACTCAACTTTCATGAGCTCACAGCTGCAAGAAAAAATGGTTATCCCATATTTAGTGGTTACTGTACATTCTTAGATATTGGCTGAACCTAAGAAATAAGCCTGTTCTTAAGAAAAAGGCTCTTCTAAGAGTAACTTATGTTCACTGAAAGAGTTTAACTTGCTTTTTCTTTGTGTAACAAAACCTGAGAATTTCTGCATACATACTTGCTAAGCGTGTCTTTCTGTTTACCATTTACTCTTTCCAAAGAAGTTAATTACATATCTTTTGCTTTTGTCTTTCAGATTTCCTTATGTGGTCAAGTAGATGTGTTTATTTCAGCCTTAAAATTGCTGATGCCAGTGCTTGCTATGGCATCTGTGGCTTCTACGGTTGTATTTAAGGAGTTTTGTCCCTTATATTATCTTCTCAATGCTATTCCTACAAAGGTCCAAAAAGGCTTTCGCTCTGTTGTTGTATACCTCACAGCACTTGATACCAATGGAGACTACATTGCTGTGGGGAGCAGTATTGGAATGCTTTATCTCTACTGCAGACATTTAAACCAGATGAAAAAATATAATTTTGAGGTAAATACTAACTTTTACTTGTCTCTTTAATGAAGCTGAGCTGCTCAGAATTGAGCTGCTGTTTGTCTCTCTTTTTAACTTTGTGAGTTTTATGTATGGTTTGTTTCAACAGGGGAAGTGTGAATCTATTACTTTTG